GACATACGCCTCGCTGGGGTTGTCTGAGCGCATGCGCATAGAACCCCTCCACACCCCGCCCCCGCACCAGCCCTGCACTACCGTGACAACCTTATGATTCTCCCTGCGCCGGCCTACAATTCCCAGTATGCTCTGCGCGGCCCGGGGTCCTAATACTCCCCTCAAAGGGGGCGTAACTGCGCGCTTGATCCGTTAGTCACCCTCGGGAGCAAAGTTGGACTTCCCGAATATCTCCGCCCGACCCTTCCTCGGCAGACAGTTGGAGCCGGCCCTGCGCGCCGCACAGCTCGCTCCGGACGGAGCTTTTTTTCCCTTCTTTTTTTTTTCTGGTCAGGCGCCGATTAGGGCACCCCCTTCGCGAGACAGCGGGAGGCCCCTCCTCACGCATCCCGGAAGTAGCGGCGCGGAGCGGGCGGTGGGGCTAGGGTCGTTTTTGTCACAGTCGTCATGGCAGTGCGGGGCCCGGGCTCCTCCGAGCACCTGGAGCGGCTACACGAGATCTTCCGGGAGCTGCATGGGCAGCTGCGCGGCCTCCCCGAGCGCCTGCGGGGCGGCCTGGCCGGTGAGTGAGTACGGCTGAGGTCGGGGGAGCTGCCTCGGCCTGGCCTCTTCCATTGTGCTGCTGGATCCGGGCCGGGTGCGGCCGCGGCACTGCCCATCGGGGTGCCCGCCGCAGCGGGTGAGCACCCCTCAGTGTAGCTGCGTGTGTAGGGTGCCAGTGCCACCTCTCCAGGATTGCCCTGGGTCCCAGGAATTATCTATGAATCTCCAGGAGACTGCTGGGAGTCGCCCAGGGGGTAAATGATGGGGCACTCGTTAAAATAAATGTTAAATCCGATTTTATACAGTAGTCCAGTGGGTTTTTAAAATGTAACAGTAATGTGCATTTGCCTCCCTGATGTAAATCTGTGTGCTGTAATTAAAGTCTTTACGTGAAACCTCACAGAATAGATTCAAACAGAGTTGGCACACTGTGGGTGTGTGGGCATTACTTTATTTGTACCGTCATTTCAACCCTCATATGATATACATTCAACAGTAGTAAAAGTGTTCAAAATGTCCAATAACTTTTGAGGCAGCTCGTTGAGGTAGCATACGCAAAACCCAAGTCACTCTTGGGAAGTTTTTTATTAATTAAGTTCATGTTCCAGGTCAAACTAGCCAAATCAGTGCCAAATCCTATCACTTGAGCAGAACTCAGTTGTTTCAAAGCTCCCGTCAATTGAGCAGGCAGAACTCGGTTGTTCTGAACACCGTGTGTGGTGCCACAACCCTTGAGCATACTCTGTCCCAGGCTGTCACCCTGGTAATTCAGATACTCTCAAGTCCATTGGCAGTAGGGGTGTACCAATAAAGATTTTTTTGGCTGATACCAATTGCCAATTGTTAACCAGCTATATTGGCTGATACAGATCTGATTGCTGACACAGCCTGGCAGTTTGGAGAGTAGGGTCTGGCTGGTAAGTCTGTGGAGTGGAAGGGGAGTGGGGGAGGGAAGGGCCTTGGTGGGGGGGCAGATCAAGGCCCCCTTGGTGAGGGAGGGAGTGCGGCAGGAGCAGGCGCTGCCCAGCTGGGTTGGGGTGTGGAATGGAGGCGCAGGGAAGGGGGGCAGCTCCCACCACTGTGCGCACATCTGGGGGAGGCATGGGGGCCATGTGTCCCTTGGATTTCTGCACAGGATAGGATGGGCTGCCCACTGGGCTGGGGCCAGGGCCTGCTCCAGCCTCTTCCCAGTGGGAGAACTGGGCCGGGACTGTGCCCAGGGCAGGCCGGGCTGGGGTGGGTGGCAGTGGTGCCAGGAGTGGAAGGCTATGGAGTGGCTACAGCTAATTTTGGGGTGGCTGTAGCTTTCCCTGTAGCC